AACTATTACTTGCATTCGCAGTCTACACAAATTATTGTTTAAATCACCCACTCTTTTCAACATTTGCATATTAGTACGGTTGATACAAGCAAGAGCTTTCGAACTTTGATTGAAATTCTACATGAGTATGAATATGTAAAATTAATACCCCCAAAATGGCTGCATGAAGTATTCATTTTCCAGCGAAGTTTGAATGATTTTTGGAAGTTTTCACCCAATTGCCATGGTATTTTGATGAGTTGAATTATGTAAAAGTTTGTTTGGACTGACTTAGTGACGGCAGGATGAAGGCATTTTAAGAAATCGTATTAATTAATTCGATTATGCAGCCGAAGTTGCGATAAGGTGTAACTTTTAGCACCCAGCATAGCACCGAGCATAAAATATCAATTCTATATCGATATTGAATATCGGCTTATAATCTCTGTTGAGAAATTGTATTAAAATGTTATTTGCTATGCACATATATGTACATACTAGGGATGTTGCGAATGTGGAATTTTAGACATCCGCAGATGCGAATGCGGAATAAATCACTAACCGCCACTAAATAACTACTCGCTCGAGGCGACAAACTTGAAAAACTTGACAAAATTGTAAATTCTTTTCGATTGGCGCTGCACCAGTTGAGAGGACTTTCAGTTATATTTCTTTTTTTTATTACGGTGCAATAATTAATTTTCGGGAATTTCATCGGGGCTGTAAATGTCGTGGCAAGATCGTTGTTTAGACACCGTTGTGTTCCAATTTGGAGAACCAATTCTTTTGGTTGTTTCAGAATTTAGAGAACCTGTTACCTCATCAGCGTTTTTCGATTGTAGTTTTTGTAATTAATTTTTAATCTTGTCTTCTGTGGCTGGTTTGAAAAACGTGCGCTTAAAGTGTGTTTGCATTGTTCAACTTTGCGTTCAACATTTGCGTTCAACTCAGCGCAGGGTTGCACGAAACAAAAGTTGAATTGCTAAAAATATCAAAACATGAAAAAATATCAAAATGTTCGCCATAAAAAGGTGTTAGCATCTTTCAACTTTGCAGTCAACTTTTGGTTTGGTTTCCACTAATCGCTTTCAACAAAGTTGGTCGCCAGCCAACATTTAGCCATTGCACTTTTTTCGAGCAACCCTGCGTTGAGTTGAACGCTAATATTGAACGCAAAGTTGAATACTGCAAACACTGTTTTATAGCGTGGTTGTGAATAGGTGGATATGGCAACTAAATTATTATTTTCTAGGAATGAAAATTTCGAAGAAAATTTTGTTTTGAAAGTCGTGGCTGCCAGCAGAATTAGTTTAAATTCTTGTTTTTTTGTAAAAAAGATACCCCGTTTTTTATAATAATTTGAATATTTCATATCTGAACAATCAGTTGTATGAGAGCTATATATTACAGTGGTCCGATTTTTCCGGTTCCGACAAGTGATAAATACATTATAAAGCTAACTTACTTACCAAATTTCAGTCGGATATATCGAAAACTGAGAGACTAGATTGCATACAAACAGTCGGACAGACAGACAGACGGCTCAGCTCGATGTTATGATCATATAAGTATACATTTCTGGTGCTTACAAATATCGGACCAAAGTTATAATACCATTTCATGCACATGAAAGGTACAATTGTCAGGCTTCAAATCGGTGAAGTAGGCGACAAAATATAAATTTAAACATTTTCTTAACTTCTTCCGGGCGTATCTATGTATAATTGCTCAATCCTACGACTACGAGCTATTTCAGTGCAAGCTGCAGTTGCAGTTGACTGTGTTTGTCACAAAAGTAAAAAGTGGCCGAAAAGTTGATAGTGAGCGATATAATCTATTGAAAAATATTAACCAATTTATTTAGGTATTATTCATAGCTTTGGAATATATTTCACGAAAGCAAAAAGTATAAATAGTTGAGGTCACTTTCCTTTTTAAACACCTAGGATATCCCTGACCATTAATAAGGACCCTGAATGACGGCAAACCTCAATACTTTACACACGTTTTGATATGATTTTTTAAATTAATGATTCTAAATTAGGCGTTATATATATTTTAAAATTTTTAGAATCAGTGGTTGAATTTTTGTACTGAAAGCGTTAAGAAAGCTTTGGTTTAAAAGTGTGATACTAAAACCTATCGCCATAAACGGTGCCAATTTTCAGTGATTACTGCGTTTCAGATTACGGCAAATAAAGCCTTTGTCTTTACTTTAAAAATGACTGTTTTCTCACGGCCCAGTAGAGTAAGGTCCTTTAAGAACAATATCAATAACAATTATCCTAGGTTATCAGATCTCTAGCAATAATAGATTAATTGTTGTCTTTCACGAAGTTCTTTAAATAAATTTGAGCTAAATACTCACCCCGAATTTGGGGGGTTACTACTATATAGTTTTGATAAATTTTCAGTTTAATTTCTTATAAAATCTGCCTTTGGGTTTATGCATCTTAAGCATACATCGGAAATTTGTTTTAGAGAATCAATAGGGATATTGTCGAAGGCTTGCACGATGCATGGATAGCACGAAATGCAAAAATACTATTCCAAATTTGGAAGAGTACGAGAGCACCCCATTGCACAGTGGTAGCATGTATAGGTAGCAAGCAGCGAAATTCTGTATGAAATACAATAACAAGAGACAGCGAAAAAAAATGAAGTGAGCGAGATGAGAGGTATGAGAGAAATATGTAGCAATTCCAACAACAAAACAACTAGCACAGGGTCTCATTTATTTTACTATGCTTTTTTGCAAAATATATACATGGGATTCGACGTTGTATATTTTGCAGCGATGGAAATTGTTGTTTCCCATATATTTTGTTGTTGTGTGTTTGCAAGTTATGCAATCCGTGCTAGGTTCAACGGCTTTGCAAGATAGCGAGAATACCCCTAATGTGAAATAATTGCAGAAACGATTAACCGGTTTGCTGCGCAACCGAGACGTCTGCTTTTTAAATAATTTTTAAAAATCAAACAAATCGGCAAGTACATATCGTCCCCGCATGCCGGAAATATGAATGTGTAAACATGAAAATTTTGGGAAATCAAGTTTGCAAGTTTTTTTTTACGAGACTTAACTCTGCATTCATGTAAATGTCATGGTGAAATACATATGTGGTTTCCGAGAACGCATGGTATTCTGGGTTCTGGTATAACATACAACAACCATAGGTTAATCAAGTCATTTCAATAGAATTATGACTTTTAGATTAAGATTTAGTAAGTGTTGGACTGCAAAAATACGAAATAAGTAACAAGGGCACAAACCGAATTGTCTTTATTTCCCATAAAAATATTACAAAATGTTTTACTGAAACTATGAAATGAACAATGGTATAATATGAAAAGTGTCGTTATTTCACATAAAAGCATGACTAACCTATCGAGATTTTTTGTCGTATGCCAATATTCAAGATAAATGTGAGACATGTGCCACTGTTCAATAGTAAGAATTGGCTACTTCGGTTTTGTGACAAATGGCAAAACTGCGCTTTTGCCGGATTGGTAACAGCTAAGCCTTTGTCGATTTGCCACAGAAAAATATGGTTAGTTATAAACCTAATCCGCTATATAACTCAAAAACATGGAATTTCGGGTAGTGCCGTTATTGCAGAGAACCATCGATTTGTGTGTTTTAATAAGTATTAATCAATCAACTACATTAAAATTTTGAAATAAAATTTTCGTTTTTTTTTTATGTGTCAGCCCCTTCCTAAATTCGATCCTGGCGACGCCCATGCTGAAGCTAATGCATCAACCTGACCTTTTACAATGCAAAGTATAATCAAAAGCTACGATTATGCATTTTTTAACGGAGCTTTCTTCAAAAATGACCTCAAGAAAACGTTAAAATTTCCCGCAAATAGCTCTTAAGCTCGTCAATGTAGGATTTATAATGAAGATATTGCCAATTTAAAAATGAACATAGATATGTATGTTTTAGTTCAGTATATTTATGAATCTACATCCGTATGTAATTATGTATATACAATGTATGTAGTAAACCAACCACTACGTTTAATTGTAGCTACATTCTCATACTTACATTTTCATTACTTCTTGAGTGTCTTTGCCGCAAGATAGGCAATAAAATCGGGGGATATGCGTAAAACACTAAAGGCATCCAATCTTGATTGATCACACTTGTCTGTGGTTTGGGCAAAGTGCATTCGTTTCTTGAACAGCGACATAGAACAACAAAAATGCAAGCATACATTGGTATTGTTGTTTTATTTAAATGCCTTTGATTTTCTTCAAGTTTGCTATATGTGTTCTAGACATATCACTGTTGGTTTCCAAAATAGAGGAAAATATATTTTCATTTTGCCGCGCATAATTAGTTACCTTGCAGTCGCCGGTGTCATCCGCCTCTACCTCAACCTTTAGTTCGTAGCTTGTAGCATGTGCATACATGTGTACATGGAGCAGATGCCATCTATGCATGTGTGTACCTTTGTATGTATGTATACTGGAGGCTCAGCGATCGACCGGCCAAAATCTTATGCGGATTATAGCCCATTCCAACAACTCTGGGCCACTAGCCAAATAAGCAATGCATCGCACGCATCCACACGCATTTTAATACGATGCTACAATAAATATATGCAACAACAACACAACAAGAAATAGAAATGCCAGTTCGCACCATGGTGATGCCCTGACAATTATAAATAGTCTGATTTGGTAAGGTCGCCTTTTGATCAATTTATATCCAAGCCTGATGCTTGTAAAAATGCTCTCAGTTCATTTAAACTAAAGTGAAAATACACTCAC